TTCTAGATCCTATTTCCCTAGATTCCATAATTTGGTTGTGTGGCATTAAATCAATTGCAACTTGTTTTCTCGCTATATGTCAGGGTAGAACTACTCATAGGGTTTCCAAGGCTCTAATCTGCATGTCCCTTTATAACTCTGGTGGCACAGTTGAGTAAATGGTGCCTATCTTCTCCCATAAAGATGTGCAGCCTTGCACACCCTCTCACTGCCATCGAGTCTGTTCTGATTCATAGGGACCCTGTAGAACAGGGCAGAAATTCCCTTGTGGATTTCCGAGGCTGTTACCCTTTACAGGAGTAGAAAGACTCATCTTTCTCCCGACAGTGGCTAGTGGTTGCGAACTTCAGACTTTGCAGTTAGCAGCCCAACACATAACCATTATGCCACCAGAGTTCCTTCTTGGAAACCCTTTAGAGTCACAAGAAGTCAGAATCAACTTGATCACGGTTGGCTTACTCTATACGGAGCATCCTTCTGTATCTTTCTCCTGTGGAGCGACTTGTCCTACAACTTTAATTGCAAGACTAATAGCAGAGTTTCATCAATTTTGAATTTGGGTTGTAGAGCCATATAGATTTTGGTATAATCCATTAACAATCAAGAAATTGTTTTCATTCAAAACATCCATGTGAAAACAAATTCTTCACGACCTCGCAAGTATCACCTGTTGGCTTGAGATATTTCCTAGACACTGTTGTGTCCTTTATATGAATAATTACTTTGGAGAGACATTCTGGCTATTCTTGGCAGATTCTCCAGGAAATTTAGAAGAAGGGCAACTCTAATCATAAGAAAGGGGAACAGGTTTACTCTTTTCTCACAATGCCTATTGCCAACCATTCGTGGACTTCCTCTCACCTGGTTGTGACCTACTGCTTGAGAATAAGTTTGAATCACTAATCTTCCAAACTTGTTGAGCCAAGTTAAATGGTGACACCGTGGTGTTTGACGATTTCGTGTCATCCACAGCTGAGCTACTTCCCAGAATGGCTTTCCCCACCTTTCTTGGAGAGCTTTGTCTTGTTGTTGGAAACTCAGCTCCACCATCAACTCCAGGAGCTTTCCTGGATGCGAGTCTGATTTGCTTATACCCTGCTGCACTGTTGTGCCTTGTGAAGAAGGCCCATCAGGGCAACTGTCCAAAAGGTTAAATAAGCTTGGATGGCTTTGTTCTATGTTGATGCAATCTGTTAAGTTGAATGTTTAAGTATCACCTATGCCACCCATGTAGGGAAGAGATACAGATGGCCGAAGAACAGTGAGTGGTTGATTAGCCTTAATGAGACTTATCTTGTGCAAGGGACTGAACACTAGAAATCTTCTCTGGGACCATGGGCAGTGGTATGAAATGAGTGTTGACGGTAAAATACAAACACGTGTGAAAAGCAAAGTGGTGAATGGATATTCAAAGAGCAGATCAGCGTAGATTATACAAGACCTTGAGTGGTAGGCAAAGCGATCCAATTTCACTATAAAATTGATATGAGACTTCGAGTCTTGTTACTGAAAAACAAAGATGAGCTAATGTCCATTTGCCACCCGACTTAATTTCTGCTTTCCAACATTTCGCCCCTGGGTTTATAAAAACCTGTGCAATCTTTTTGCCTTGTTTAATAGACTGGTTAAAAAAATTCAACACGATAAATTCTCGAATTTAAAATGAGACCAATTTTAACAACGCCCAGAAATAAGACTGTGCCAGATATCTGACAGAACAATCTTTAAAATTTGAAAAAATAATTGAAGACGATGAGTCCCCGAAGTAGCAGTTTATTTCGGTGGCGCGATGGCTAGGTGCTTGACTGCTGATTGAAAGGCTGGCAATTGAAGGCACCAGCAACTTGGTGGGAGCAAGACCTAACCATGTGTGCCCACAGAGATTACGGTCATTAAAGGCCCCCCCATGCGGTCCCACACTGTCGTGTAAAGGTGCTGTGAGGCAGAAGCAGTTCACTGCATCTAACAATAACGGTGACAAGTTGGGCTGTGCTCCGCATGGTCGGCAGTGGAACAAGCAGCCGTTGCTGTAAACGGTTCCAGTCTCGGAAACCCACAGAGGGGCACTGGGACTCCGAGTTGGCTCCACGGCAGGGAGAGAAACAACAGTAACACGAGAGCAAGTTTCAGGGAGAAAAAAAGATGCTGCTATTGAAAGAAGAATGATTAAGCCATCCAAACACATAGCCTTTTTCTTTCTTTCTTTTTTCAACAGAACAGAGGAAGGAAATGGCTATTTGAAAAATTAGGTTTTGACTTCTGAAGACAAAACACAGTGGTGTTCACATCAAATGAACATGTGAAATCTGGGTTTCAGGCTGGTCTCCTAGCTTGGGTTTCTGGGACTGCTGGCCAGACTGAAGAAGCTTCTGCAGTGGCATTTCTGAGCATATCAATTAAAAACAACCACAACCTTGCTCTGATATCAAAATCTGAACATTAGTATACACTTTTTCAAAAAAAAATTCAAGAATACCACATAATTTCTATACTAGCATCACTTGAATGTAAACATTCCTGTGGGTTAGGGGTGATGGACTGCTAGCCACCAGGTCAGTAGTTCAAATATACCAGTTCCTCTTTATAATAATGATGAGGCTATCTGCTCCTATAGAGGTGTATTGTCTCAAAAGCCCTACAGATGATCACTCTGAGTCAGAATTGACTTAATGGCAGTGAGTTTGGTTTTGGGGTTAGTCACGGCTGCTAAGTCAGGAAATTCACAGAGCCATTCCTGAAGGTGTTTGTGCTACTAAAGGCTAAAAGGGGAGACATGAATTTAAGGACCAAATTGCTGGTTGGAAACACTATCCTAAGTCAGCCCTCTTCTCCCACCTTCCACATGGCTGCTGCAAACCCTCCCATTCTCCTCGAATCCCTGGAACACATCTTCTCTCTACCTCCTCACTCTTAACAAGTGACTGTGCTTCCTTTGCACAGAGAATGGAGAGAACTTAAGCACAACTCCTAACCATATACATACACACACCTGTACCTACAACCAACCTTCCCTCCTGGCAGAAGCAGTGAATCTCCTGGTCAAATGAACTCTCGTGTGTGCTTTCTGGGAACTCTGGTGGCCTACTGGGTTATGCATTGACTGCTAAACACAAGGTCAAAATCACTGAGGGAGAAAGATAAGGCATTCTACTCTGGTCAAGATTTACAGCCCCAGGAACCCACTGGGACAGTTCGACTCCCTGTCCTAACGGGTGTCTATGAGTCAGAATTGAGTCAATGGCAGCGAGTGATATGTGCTTTGATACCATTACCTCCTGCCTTCTCCGGGTCTAACTCTGGTAGTCAGCTCCTCCATTATAAAAACCTCTTTGCTACTGGACTGTAGTGATTATTGCCCATGGCTCTGGAAGGAGAGAGGAAGCTGGCTTTCCTTTATTGGAAAAAGACCAATTTTCCCCTGTAAATAAGGACTTTTTATTGTGCAATTGGATAATCTAACTGCAAGGATAGAGGTTCAAACCCACCAGCTGCTCCGTGAGAGGAAGAAGAAGCCATCTATCTGCTCCTGTAGATATTTCCAGCCTCAAAAACTCTGGATAGAATAACTACAAGCTTGAATCTATGGCAGTGGGTGTGGGGTTTAGGAGGGAAGACTTACCCTGGAAATGCTTCTTTGGGGGGAAATGGCCCAGGAGATGAGCAGGTGACTACTTTCTAAAGAGGATTAACCTTGGGATCTCAGGTGAGGCACTCTTGGCCCAGCATAACAACAGTGAATATGTGCATAATCATAGCATCCGAAAGGACCGTGGCACTTGAGATTGTGTGGAACTCCTGCTTCCAGTAGTTATCCCATCTGAAAATGGTCTATCTCAAAGAGCAGGAAGATTCTCAAGACTGGGAGGAATCAAAAACAACTGTGGGCCGATCCAACTTTGCAATGCAAGCTCTTGCATGATGTTTGGCAGCAGGACTGGCCCTTTAGACAAAGTGGCCCTCTTCTCCTCTCACTCCACACACTGTCGTCGAGTCGGTTCCAACCCATAATAACATCATGCGCAGCAGAACGAAATACTACCCGGTCCTGCCCCATCCTCACAATTGTTCATACGCCTGAATCCACTGTTGCAGCCGCAGTGTCAATCCATCTCCTCAAGAACTTTTTTTTTTTTTTTTGTTCCCTCTAATTTACTAAACAGGATGTCCTTCTCCAGGGACTGGTGTATCCTAACAACATGTCCAAAGTACAAAAGACAAAGTCTCTGCATCCTTGCCTCTAGGGAGCACTCTGCCATTCTCCTTCCAAGACAGGTCAGTTTATCCTTTTACCCGTGCATTTGACTGCCTTTATTGAGGGACACAAGTATTTCTCATGGATTGGACAGTACACGAAGCAGGAAACATCTTTATAATTATGTTGCTATGGTTTTTGCTGTGTGCCATCAAGTCTGTTTTGATCCAGAGACCCTAGTCACAACAGAACGAACAGTGCCCATCCTGCACCACCCTCACAACTCTTCCTGGGCTTGAACCCAGTGTTGCAGCCCCTGTGTCCATCCATCTCCTTAAGGGTCTTCCTCTTGCATGCCACCCCTACACTTTACTGAACACGGTGTCCATCTCCAGGCACTGGTCTCTGCTAATGACACGTCCAAAGTATGTAAGACGAAGTCTCACCCTTCTGGCCGCTAAGGAGCACTCTAGTTGTGCTTCCTCCAAGATAGAGCAGTTTGTCCTTTTAGCAGTCCATGATATTCTCAATATTCT